AACCACAAGTAATTGGTATGGTTAGAATTGTATGGATTAGCTGCAGCGATCATAATGGTGAATCATTTTTGTGAACCACTGGCAAAATATACAATAGTGCATACTTTTTGTATAACTATAAGTACAATTATCATGATTATAGGGATTAGCGGCGGTAATAATAGTGTATCATTTTGGGGGATTCAAAGAATAGTTAGTGGTAATACATGGTTACGATATGAAGCATAGTGTATGTGTTTGTCGAGTTGTGCTGCATAGACATCTTCGGAATAAGTGAGATTCAAATCATCCCATGGGATTTTCGAAACCCCCAAAATCTCGTACACCTTTTTTGGAGTGATACACACCTCGTAATACATACTAGACATAGTAAGGTCTGTAATCCAGTAAGCGGGCTGCAATTCACCAATAATCAATATACAGCATGTACAACAACGGCATTATGGCAACATAAAATTTTAGTAACTCAGTGTTCTATTCCTGATGAAGGGTGCGAACTGCATGTCCGCATTGTGCTTGATGCCCGCGAGGAATGTTGGTCTTAGTAATCACCGCCCGGGAAAATTTCGAGTGGCCATTTTGAATTGTTTAATTTTCCCGGGCGATGACTACTAAGACCAGCATTCCTCGCGGGCATCAAGCCTTGTGACGTCATTATGCATAAGGTCTATAACTCGAATTGATAACTCATGCCCGTAGATTTTCTTTTTTGTGAAGGTATAGCCATGTCTTTGAGAGCTTGGTCTATGCCAGCGCAGTCATCAACTCCAGATTTAGATCTCGCTCCACATGACTTTGGGATCCCCAGGCTTAGACATGCAGCTATAGAGCTCCACATGATTTTTGAACATGAAGCTTACCTATAGATCTGTTGTTAGCCAATAATTCCAGGTTTAGACATATGGTTTAGATAGCAAGTTACATACAATTTCGTGAGTTTTTAGCCAGTAGCTCTTAGTAGGTAGCTCCACTACCTTCACATGATTTTTGTAGTTAGCCAGTCACTTCTGAATTTTTAATTCAACTACGTTTTTTCAGGAGACAGTGGTTGACGTTGCATCTTGGTGCATTAAACACCATATCTAGTATAAATATGTATAGTTAACTAAACATATCATATTAGAATTATCTCGCCATCAAACAGTGAAACAGAGGGTGAATCAAAATAGTTGGGTCTAAAGAGATCTATAATTAACGTTTTTTCAAGAGATAGTCCTTGCTGACACGGCTGTTAAGCAGTGTCTACACTGAGCCTTCCTTTGACCTACATTTTGGTAGTGAATAAACAAACATTTTGGCCTATACTCCTATAGCCTATAGGCTTGACCTATAGCCAGAAAATCTTGGCCACTGCGATCGTTGGTCTAGACTTGCCTAAACGACTCCAAGCCTTGTGCCAATGTAAATAGTGTAAAGTGTAAACGTATCGCAATTATCTTGGCACAGGCCAAGGCTCGCAGAATACGTTAACCTGTGATTAACCAGTACCACTCGGAGAGATAGGATTACAGAACCAAGCCAAGGTACGTATACCGTCACGCTTAATATTGTTCCTATAATATGATTGAGAATATAGACTAGATATATCATATCTGCGGGAAGTATTTCACCTAAAGATCACAATGCAGTTTCAATATACCAGCAGTTATAAGGTATGTGAGGTTATTCGAGGTAGTCCTTCCCCTAACACAAACACTTGCCCTTCCCCTAACACCAGCAAGTTTTAACATCATCAAGTAGTAACATATAGTGTTAATGATGTCTACTTTGCAGATGCATTCGCGGATCTAAAAATGAAGTATTGAACGCTACCTCCGAGCAGATATTACAAGACTTATTGCATGTATTTCTGTTTTCCGGCCATTTCTCGCAAAAATTACGTAATTCATAATTATGCAAGCTGCGAAGAGTTGCAACCAATCAGAATACAGCACTAGTTCTAATTAAATACAATAAATGCAACGTTCGCAAAGCGAGTTCGCGGGTTTTTTAAATTTGTGGAAGAGAGCTAATTACGAATGTTATAAACCGAATGTCAACAATTTTTTACGAACCACAAAATGTACAGTACAATAAGATAATAATGCTACATTCTACCGTGTTTGATGCTCTTGCGAACGGTTGCACAATGTTCTAGAATATTCAACTTTGGTTATTGTGTCAAAATTGAGACAATAGCGGGCCCCTACAGAACAGATTCCAGAAAAATCTACCATGCAGGGGCGTTCTGGAAAAATCCACTACAATATTAGCACGCCGGGTCATATTGACAGCTGTTTAACTTTAATTTGCTACATGCATGATATTGATGCCAAAGACGACACCAAAGTACAGTATTGCATGCAATTTGTCATTGTCTATATATATGCTCTCTATTTCATTTCATTTAAATTTATTTAATCACGGTATACCTATCAACTGTTACATTGTTTTTCATAGGGCCATGTGAAAATATTTACAGATATGAAATTACAAAGTATATATACAAAATAAAATCAAAATTTACGTTGTTTACAGTAGTCATATGCAGTATCATTTATACTGATTCCAGACTTTAGCTCCCTTTTCATAGTTTTCCAAGGTATGAGGTTTAGAATGAGTAAGTAATATCCCATTACTTCATACAGAGCTAATAGATTATTTATAATTCACTAAATTACTGCACTTTTCAAAAAGATTACATATTATTTCAGGACACCTAACATTAGTCATTACTCAATTTGTATTTCCATATTTGATTTTCACGTTTTTCTTGTAAGGTTTTCTATCTAACTTTTCTAATATTTGTTTTGACCGGACGATCCTTGCTGCTCTGTTTGGGAGTTTCTGCATGTATATTTAATTTTAAAATTTTAGAACAATTTCCCAAGAGAGCAATAGTCAAAATGAGGTAGGATTAGTGTATTATATATAGATCATTTCTAGAATATTCTTAATAGAGGACAAAGATCTACATAATTGCAACATGCAACAATAATCGTATAGTAAATACTCCGAAAGATCGCAATCAACGTTATACTTCGACTTCTATTTTCCAAAATTAATTTAGTCCATATTTAGTTCAAAGTGTATATTTATTAAGTCCATTCACCAATCTCCGCATACAAATGATGCGCTGGATAAAGGGGATTTTCAGGCCGGAGTAATGTATGCAGTAATTAAAAACATACAAAGAGGTCAAAGTATAAAAAAGCGTGAAAGTAATTTGGGCAGAATTTTGTAAACGTGAGAATGACCTATACTCATGGTTTCTTACGTTTTTCACCACACCAGTGGAGGCCATAAGGCGCTAACCATGCATCAAGCTGCCACAACTCAGTCAAATCGTGCTTATTAGTCTTATTTTGGGAACTTCAATCAATTGACCCTGAACACAGTTTCACAATGCAGGAATTACCATCACAGAGATCCTTTATAGATTTCAAATTTTTCTCAAGTGGGACACGCCCCAAGATCTCCTCGAATGCCAACGGGGCGAGAAACTCTATAATTTAAACATAAAATATAGCACAGCATCTTTAGCATTTCCATAAATCAGCAGCCTATATAAAATTACCCACGCTATCAGCGCCTTTGTAATCACCGGAATGAAAGGCAATGAAAGGGTTCTTATAACATGACGTCTTACAGGGATTCAAACCAGATGATACAGTATATTGATCGTACAATAATAAATCTTACAAACCTAATATGGAAATATTCGCTTATTTATGAAACACATCCTATTCTATTTCTGTCTGGCCAAGGGCAAGGATAAAAATATAATAACTATACATAAGAAGGCGGAGGATCTATTTTTGTTTAAAATAGCACACACATATTATTTCAAGGAAGGATTCAATAAAGATCTGTCCTGACGAGTAATTTTCTATCTAATTTATTTTATGTCTCTCTTAGTTTCTCTTTATCTAGCCTGCGCCGCATGTGTTGTGCAGAGTATGCGGCGCAGGCTATCTCTGTCCTCCATCCAATAAACAATTATTGAGGTCGAGTAGAATAAGAGGAATTATTAAGGCCGAGGTTTGTGTTATCTTCCGAAGCCGAAGGCCTTAATAATTCCTCATATCCTGCGAGAACCGAATTCAATAATTGTTTTATTATTTAATTGTAAATATTTCGGACTCAAGAAGACGTGTGTTCGAAAGCATGAATAATACCGCATAAATTAGCGTGACGTCATAGCGTGTTACATTGTTTTTCAATATACCACGAAATTACGTCAAACGTGGTATATTTGTTTTCAATATTCCACGGTGATGTCATAACTTCAAATTTCAGCATACCGAGTGGATATGACGATTTCACCGACAGCTCTTAGCCAATCAAACTCTTGAATTAGTTTGTGTTCTGTTTTTTATTCGCCTGTTGTTATAGACATCGAGTTCCTATTTTATTTTATTATTTAAAATTGATTTTTTAAAATTGATTTAAGTTTAATGAATTAACGGCCCACTGCACTAATTGATGTCAACTGTTGTGGTGCATGTCCCGGCCTTCTTTTGCTTTTTTATATATGTTTGTCTTTATATTTACATATATATAAAAACTTCAATTTCACCCTCCAAGCGAAGCTTTATAAAAATTGTAAATAAATAAAATAAATTAGGTTTTATTTGTAAAAATAAATTAGGTTTTATTTTGAGTTTTTCGACTATTCCCCACAAGTTTGGGCGAATAAAAAATAAACTATGCTCACCTGTTTAATTTGCTTTCTTTTGCTTTTTATTATATAAAACAAATAGAGAACATTTTCAATAAATAGATACACAGAGGTCGTCACAACGTGATACGAACATCAATTAATGACCCGTTCCGGAGGCTCGTACCACTTTTTTGTTTTTATCACGTTCTACTAGCTGTTACCACAACGGCATAATTTATATCTATTTGTTAAACATCCATTAACTTAATATATTATTTTCCCTTTGAGAATTGCCTCAAAGGCATAAGAAACTAATTTTTACAAACCACAAAAATAATGTTATTCTTTTCCAACAATACTATATCTTAACATTTATCCGATGTGTCCTATCAGAGCCTTGTTGCTGCGATGCAGTTGATGGCGTGTCAGGATTGACTGAGTTTATTGGACCACAAGGTGTGGGATATAGTCTAAAATAAACGGACAAAATGTACTGTAAGACATTGTAAGGTTCTAGTACATGCGCAAATTTATATTCTTTGTTTTCATCTGACATCATCAAAATTCTAAAATCTTAACCATTAATCCTATATAAAGCTATTCTTATTAAATCTTCTAGACAAGGGAATCATCAATTCCTTTGCAAAGTTTGGTGTCGATCCATGCAGTGGTTCATTTTGTGAAATCCCGGATTAACGTGTTTCTATAGCTGAACTGTCACAAAAATATTTTATTATAAAAACATTCGTTTTTATAGCAGCTATATATTTGTGCCCCTCCATGTGAAGGACACAAACATGGCGGCGGCATAATAAATACTGTCATTTTATGCTAATAGAAACAATAATATAAATAGAATAACATTACAATGTGAGGATAAAATTTAACCTATATAATCTATATGAAATATTAAATGAAATTAATTAAACCCTAAATCTTAAGCGTGCAAAGTATAATGGGAACATCATTTAATCATTTTAGAAATCATATATGGAGCCCAATTTTTAGAGATATGGTAAATATTTCCTTACGAGAAAAATTCATTCACAAATAGCTGCAATATTCAACTACTAAGCTTGAAACTTGTGCTCCCATTAATAAGCTTTGCGCGCTTATAGAGTTTGAAGTTTGCAAAGGACAACCTTTATATATGCCCTGGGAACAGTATCGGAAGACCTGAAGCATTGGAAACATTGTAACAGTGATATATCTAACAACGTTGCAAATCCAGTACATTTGTATTACATTAGGAGACAAATCTTGGTCATGAAGGAGACATATAACTCCAGGACCTAAAGGCTCGTTTACATGCACTTGCAATTTTTGCTGCGATTTTAGGTGCGATTCTCTTCTTCTGATGGATGTGAACGAGTGGATGAGTTATGACTATTCAGATGAGGGTACATGTACTCCGAACATTTATAACTCATCTACTCGTTCACATCCATCAGAAGGAGAATATCGCAATAGAAATCGCAGCAAAAATTGCAAGTGTATAAAACGGGCCTTAAGGGATTTGATTTATATTGCTATTTTTCACCTTGTCCTATTTTATCAATAGACTGTATGAAACAACTAATAATTATAGCACAGACAGTAATAGCAAGAAAAAAACACTTACACATGTGCTCTTTTTAATACAGTAATGTAGATCAGCATGCTGACAATATTACGTGTTTTGCAAATTAAAACTATAATTAAAATGGTCAGTATAATTATAAGAAAATATTATAAATTCTTTGCTTACATTTTTCCAATACGTTGAACCGCGCTTCAAAGATTTAAAATACTTGAGTCTGTACAGTTAGGCCTATAATTCACATCATTTGCCTTAGCTGTGGCCTGTGGTCTTTAGCTACTTCCTTATTTCGAGGTTTTAAAATTAAAGCATCACTTTTCTGCTTATACACATATAATATACGTAGCTCATGCACCTCATTAATATTCAAAACAACGCAAGAAGCACATCAGTTTTTTAACCCAGGTTAACTCAACGTCGAAAACTGTAATTTCGGCGCACCTGCATGCTTGGTAGCAATTCAAAACGAATCCATATTTTTAATTAACACGATTATATAAACATTTATATAAATAAAAATGATTACATCATTGTTTTCAAACCAAAAAATGAAGACTTTTTGTATACATAACATATTTGCACAAATACGAGCGCTAACGCACAATTTTGAAAGCATACTCGAATAAATTTTTCAATAACTATAACAATGACATCTCTAGATGTCCTTCAATAAGGTGCTCATGCAAGTAAAACAGGGTCTCAATTCAAGCGAGGTAGGAGCGAAGATAGAGAACCTGGGTACGAGGTTGTGCAAGTGGCTGAAAAGTCATAGTATCCGCCGCCATGTTGTCTTTTCTGCCCTCCCATATCGAGGACCGATGTTAATTACAGTATGCACTCGAAATTTGAACTGCAGTGCAATTTGAAAAGTACGCCACTAATCTCAGACTTTTTTCACGTATATATTATCGTGTAGTAAATGCAAATAGACTAAAAACGGACTAACCTCAAACAATCAGATCTTTCTTTGTTGGAGGTATCTGCCGATCGTGGTGGTGTATCTATTCAAAACAAGAAGGAAGGTAGTTCAGTAATCTTACTCAATCTTGAATCGAGTTTTGAAACTCAATCATCTTATCAAAAGTTTAAGTGCAGTAAAATTGAAGTCGTCTGGGTTAAATTTGTGACATGGAAATTTTTTTCTATATGCATGGGAAACAAACACACAGAATGGAATTCGTTTCACAATACAAGAAAAACCATGAACAAAAACATGAACACACATGTTATGTACCATGTTTAACTCATTGCCGTCCGGTCCATTTCAATGAAAGGCATGCAGTAAAAGCTATAAAATTGCGAATCTGCATGGGAGCGAGGGTGGGGTATCAAATTACCCCAGACCCCTCGGGACTATAGAATTACAAACATTCTAAACTTTATCATATAGGTGTGGCCGTAGACGATTGTGAGCACTGATCTAATAGAAAACCAGTGATTGCGAGTTCTAGCACAACGCAACGCACTAACCTTGTATACCGCTCGTCTTTTCTCCACCAAAGAAACGTGGAGGCTAAATAAAATAAGTTGCTAATAATTAAATTTTCTGCATAATAAACATTATAACCAACCGCGGAGTACCGTTATCTCTCTATTGAGCTTTCAGGATGGTTTCTTTTTTCAGGCCGGCATCTTGGAGGGAGGGGGAAGAGCTTATCGCAGAGGACGGGCGAAGAGGGGCACTTATTTATCTGTAAAATGATTATTATTTTATTTATATAAACAAATTGGTGCGAAAGACAGTCGGAAAATCTACAATAAATTTGCTTTTGTGCAAGTAGAGGGCGGACTTAATAGGGGTAATGGGGGGTTAAAAAATCTCTTCATCTAAAAAGGTGGCGGCTTGTTAGAAAGGGGTTTTAATAAAGAGATTATGGTATGGCTTTTGCAATTTAGTCATGATTATGAAATGCTTGTCACATGGTCATGCTTTAAGGATAAAATTCTAGGTTAAAACATACGTTTTTTCATTGCGACGTAAATGCAGAACTTACAATTATCCGGTATCTCTTGTTTAGTGGAATGGGATCTCGAGGAATAATTAATGGTCCATCACTCTGCACAAAAAGATGTAGATGCATTTTATTTATTGTACGATACCCTCAATTACATGTGATTTTGAAACCTGTCACATATGTATGGCAATGTGTTCCCATAGCGTAGTTCAACAAGAAAGATAAGAAATCAATTGATCATGGAAACATACGCCCTATAATTATACGTATGTACTCAAATATTTCGCAAATATTTTCCCAATGTCTTGTTAGAAGCCTTTATACTTACAGTATGTATATTATGTACTTACCGCGTATGTAACAGAAGCATGGTGTAATTGTGCGGCTTGTTTTTGTAAAGTTGCTCGTAAAAATGCTTCGTCTTTAAGTGCATGTATACTGCAAATAAAAAGGACGAAAAACGTTTCAACACTTCGTGCTTCTGTTAAATGCCAGTATAAGTCTTATATATGATCCGAGGTGACTCTATACACAAATTCAAGGAAACAGGCAAAACCTCTTGTAATACATCGACTGAATACAGCCTGGACCAAATCCTATAACAACATGGCTGATTTAATACCATCTATAACCTTTCAAACTTCCAAATAAATGGAGAATCCTTACTTAATGAGCTCTAAACTAATGTCACTATACAAAATTGCACTCACTGAAATCAGTGGAACACTTCATATTGAGAAAACTTGTATATATATATATATATATATATATATATATATATATATATATATATATATATATATATATATATATATATATATATATATATATATATATATATATATATATATATATATATATATATATATATAGTTTTGTACCTTTGTTTTAGAATGGTGACTTTCATTTCCCATGTCCTGTTTGTACGTTCAAGTTCTTTTCGTAGGCTTGGAAAAAGATAATCGTTTATAAGCCCAAGGACCAAGGTTATAATTTCATCTAAAAGCAGCTAACTTTAGTGTGGAAACTCATGCAAGACTGAAACTGAAATATGTACTGTTATATAAATTATTATACTGTATAATCACTGCCATGCCACCAGGCGGTTTTAGATTTATCTACATTTTCTGGTAATACTACCATTCATTTGTCTCTTCATTCGTTCACATTTTACTGAAGTATACTTTAAATTTCAGAGCGTAATATGGAATCATGGTTTATGGTCGTTTCATACTCATTTCGTATTCTTTTCGTTTCGTACTCAGGCTTAGTCATTTCTTACTCAGGCTTGCTCGTTTCGTACTCAAACTTGGAAATGACGGGAGTACGAAATGACCTGGAATGATACCTGGAATTATTAGCTAAACATAACAGGTCAACGGTCAACCCTAACTCCTAATATTGCTAAATAACATCATGCAAATACGCAAATGACAGAAGAAAAAATACGAAGACGCTGCATATACACCTGGCAATCTCCGCAGTCAGTTTGATTTCTATCTGTTGTAACTTTCTTATCATTCCATCTTTTTCAGAATCAGGAATTACATCTTTTTCCTAAAACAGATGACAACTACATCAGAGACAATAGCATCAACCAAACTTTGTGCATTTGAGTGAAGATCAAACAAGGCTCGCTGGCACCTTATGAATTTGTGCAGGCACATTTTAAAACACTGGCATTTTAATAATATTTAGCTCTCAAAACCTAAAATATGGCACATTTTGAAGCTATGAAAGTTGTTTGGAGGCACTAAAAATATTAACGAGCCCTGTGAATTGTTACAGAGAAATTTTCCAAGTGATATGTTATTAAGAAGTTCTGTCATTCCTCATGATTTTTTTGGAGAGCCACCTTAAATAAACAATCTAAAACGAGGTGATAATGTCATTATATGATACAGTCGAACCCCTATTAAGCGGACACCTTCGGGACCTCGCCTAAGTGTCCGCTTAAAAGGGGTGTCCGCTTAAAAGGGGTATGTAGAAAAACACAGCAGGAGGCAAAGGTGTGTAATTAGGTGTGTAATTTGAGTATCAAAACAGTAAAAAATATCTAGCAAATAATTAGCATAAAATTAAAGTTCTTTGTGCATAAAAGTTCATTAGAAAATGTATACGTCTCTCACAGTCTGTAGTGACAGTCATATAAAAAAGGAATCGATACAAGTTTGCTTTCGAGGCTCATGCAGACGATAGCCCATTATAATGTCATTTACGTAAAAATGACGTTGGAAATATCTTGGCTCTGATAGTCTTCGCCCCAAGTTGGTGTGTCACTCTCAATGTGCCATGTAAATTGATCTCAATTGTTATTTACTGTCGAATATTGAATACATTTTATCAGACAATCTGTCATCTGTCCGCTTAAGAGAGGTTGGTTTGCCCATTGGGACCTCAAGTAAGGTGTCCGCCTCCGTTAAAGAGGGGTGTCCGCTTAATAGGGGTTATGATAATAGTATTTTATTAAAGAAAACGAATGGGACCTGAGATATGTGTCCGCTTAAAAGAGGTGTCCGCTTAAGAGAGGTGTCCGCTTATAGGGGTTCGACTGTATATTAAAATCTGCAGTAGAATACCTTTTTCTTCATAGCTTCATCCAACAAACGTTGGTTTTCAAGTTCTCGCGATCTATTTTTTGACATCTGCTTTGATTTATAGTCATCAATCGTTCTTTGAGAGGAAGCAATCATCTACAACAAGAAAGTTAATCTACATAGACATCTTTCATAAACGTCTGCATCTACTGTAGAATGAACAGCAGGGTTTCTACTTAAAGGACCTAAAACTGGAAAAATCTTTGAAAATGGCACGGATTATTCAAAATCACAGGACTGTCAAGGACCTGTGACTTTCCAGGCCTGAATTATTTTTTTTCAAATTCAAGGACTTTCCAGGACTTTCAAGGCCCCATGGGCATCCTGGAACAGTCACAGATAAAAACGCTGTCTATTTTCAAATGAAACATGTACGTTTGTAATGAGGATTTGAATTACTCCCTTAGCTCAGCCAACCAGCTTGAAGCTACTGTTAAATGGTATTGACAGCAAAGCGAAAATACATCCCAAAACGTGGGGGGAAGTAGCCGGCCAACGATTTTACGATTACGAATATCCAAAAAGAAAGGAAACGCGTCGAACCTACTGTACTGTACTGTACTGTTACTGTACTGTACTGTACTTCGAGTTCTCTTAACCTTCTTCTCGGTTTGGATAAGCTTGTGTTGACCATAAATAGCCTCTTTCTTAAATCTTTGGTATAAGTCAGTGTATGTAAAATAACACACTTACATCTTCTTGCGTTTTTCTGATTCGGTTGTTGAAATCTCTTTCCATGTCATACTTCTGTTTGTCTAACTACACAAAAAAGAAATTGTCAATGGTAGGAAAGGAAAGGAAAGGATGCAATTTGTAAACCCAAAACATGCACGCATATAGTTACATAACGCGCATACCCAGTCTATATTACGTCTGAGAAAATTCTACTTTATAACCACTTCCTTCGTTACCTCGTTGACTGGTGACGTTTATTTTTATTTTTTTATTATTTTTTTTTTAAATTTTTACAAATTTTATTGTTAAATATCCATCTTTGGCATATAGAAATACAATGGATTTACAAGTTAAAAATATATACTAAAATACATGTATAACCTATGAGAATGTAAAAATTAGAAAGTTTAAGAAGTTTTTATATACATATGTACAATAATCTAATTTCATGAGTTGGTTAATCTACACGCCCTTGGGATAAAAGACGTACTATGCCTGTGTGTTTTTGAGAGCTGTCTTGGAGTGCTGTCTCTGGTCCTGCTCAGTTCGTAAGTGTGATTCTTATTACCAGATAGGAAACGATTACATGGGTTTTTTGGGACTTCCACGATCCTTTTCAGCTCGTTGCATGTTGCCTTGTCCCTTCTTTCTTTTAGTGTAGGGAGGGTATCTTTCTCAAGTCCTAGGATTCTCAAGCTTCTTTGTTGAACACGTTCAATTTCTGCTTCAAGATATTTAGGGATTCCGCCCCAAACTGGAGAGGCGTATTCAAGTATTGGCCGGATCTTCGACGTATATGTTAATAAACCAATCTCGGGTGGTAGGAAGGATTTCCTGCACTCTCTGAGAAGGAATAATAGCTTATTTGCTCTTTTTGTTATTTTACAAACATGGGTATTCCACTTTAAATCATTTTGCACCCATACACCGAGAAGTTTGAAGGAGTTTACTCTTTCTATTTCAATTCCATCCGTTTGTATAGGTGGGGGTTCAGAAGAGGATTGGGAAAAACTGATCCACATGTCCTTAGTTTTTTTGGGGTTCACCATCATTTTATTATCATTGGCCCAATTCATCACTTGATTAGTCGATTCCTGCATATTTGAAAGGGCTCCGTTTGCAACGACCTCATCAAGAGTGCAGTCGTCTGCATACTTGTGCGTGTTTGTAAGGTTGTTTGTTAACGTGTTTTCCAAATCATTGATATGAATATTGAACAGTGTTGGAGAAATAACGGAGCCTTGCGGGACTCCAGCTGGACAGGGGGCGCTTGAAGATATAACACCATGTAAATTCACATGTTGATTCCGCTCTGTAAGGAAACACTTCACCCATGACCAGAAGGCCTTCGATACATTCATTTCCGCTAATTTTGTTAATAGAATTCTATGGTCGACAAGGTCGAATGCTTTTTTGAAGTCCAAGAACGTAGTATGGACCCCTTTTCTTCCAATATTGGAGTTATCTGTTACGTCAAACCACTTCTGGGTCATCGAGATCAGGGCTGAGACAGTAGATCGATTTT